ATGAGACCTTGAGGCCGTTTATATCTTCAGCTGTCTGTCCACAACAGCGTATCAATGAGGCTTAAGCTTGTAGATGCTTCTGGTGTTACAGCAGTACAGCAAGATCTTTGCCACTGGTAAGTCACTTTGGTTCTCCTTCATGTCATTTTTATGCCAAAAAATGCACTTTTTTTGATTAAACATAACCAGTCTATAAGAAATCATCTGGTTTAATTGTTATAGGAATGACAGTGCATTTTACTGAGTTGCACAGTCTGGGACAATAGAAGAAGAAAGCTCTTTTTTATAGCCTACTGCTGAAAGAATTAAGGTTTGTACTGTGTTGCATTTTATTTTTAACCCTGTACTGCAGTCTTCCTTTGTACATATTTCTTAGTAATTCTTTGTAGTTATATATTAATAAATAAGTAAAATCCTTACAGCTGATATCCCTCTACTTCATATTCATTAAATACAGAATCTTTGGTTTATACTATAACTAGGTTAACTGTGATTCACAGCTTTTCTCTCTGCCTCTGACCTCTGAATTTCACTGTGAATTGGATTCTGGCCTATTCTGAAAACAGCACATTTATAACAATGCATGAGCTACAGTATGCACAGTCACATTTTGACTAAAATCTGTCAAAACATAAACAGTGAAACAAACATTAGGACAATTTGATACTAAATGTGTTTTAAGGACCTGTAGATACTCTGGTTACAACGTTGGGCTGTCCAGGTATAACAGCAACAGCTATGTAATCCCACTGTTCACAGTTTGAGTCCAACTTTTTTTTTAACACTTCAAGTTGTCCCTCTTTCCCTCTGTCCCACATTCTTCCTCCTAAGAAATCCACATTAAACTATCTGCTAAAAGCAAAAAGACCTAAAGATTCTGCTTTTGAAGGTTTAAACACTTTTCCCTCTATTTCTGCCTCATTTGTGAACCTAATATTTTTTCCGTCTGGCAGTAGCTTGTAATTTTGGGCCTAAAATGTACTTTGCTTATTTTGTACAGCTACAAAAGTCCCTCAATTTCAGTAAGTGTGTGACACTCTTCCCTGCAGCTTAGTGTGACTGAATGACAACCTGTATGTGTCTGTGTGAGGCTTGACATCTCTGTCAGTTCGGGGCTGCAGGGTCCCAGTCGCACCATAAAATGCAATGACAGCACAATCATAAGAGGACAGAAGTGAAGGGTGTTCAGTTTGTGTCTTACTTGAGCGTCTCGGCCAAGTAGAAGCTCTGCTGCACGTCGTCGTAGTTTGGAGATAAAGCGTAGACATCTCTGACGCCGCTGTAACCTCCTTCAACTCTACAGTGCTGCTCCAAGGCCTGAATGAGAGACAGTGATGGAGACGGACAGCACGAAGGGAGAGGGAGACAAAGAAGGCCATCGGTGACTGGCGACATAAATCACTGAACCTTAGGGAGGATTATTTACTAAATCATGAGTGACCTTGTGTGAGGTTTTTTTGTTTTTACAGGCAATTTATGGATTTTTAAATAGAAAAACTTTACTTTTCCTTTCATAATTTTGTCTCCAGTTTTTCTCAAATTAACGCAATCTTCGTTTTCATAGATAGATATTTTACCTGTACAGCCTCCCAGCCCCACTCTCTGTATTTGGGGTCATGGGTAAACCTCCACATGTACATGTAGGTCTCAATGACCTCAGGACGGAGGATGAAATACTTCTCGTTCTGGCGGGTGGCGATGGCTTCAACGCCGCCATCGAAACGGAATGCCTCTGGTCCGAGTTTCAAAGCTGCAAAAGACAAGAACAAGACAAGAAAATGTTGAGAGATAAAGAACAGAACTGTGTTTTTCAGCATATTTATATATTTTGCATGTTTGCACATGTATGGAAAACCACATGCTGTAAGGCTTACAGAATAGTGAACATGCCTGATTTTCTTCCCTTTCGCTTTGTTTTTATTATTTATCCATATATTTACATAAAGTAAACTAATAGGTAAGTAAGTAAATAAGTAATATATGTAGATGCTGTGCAGAGCAACACCACTAACTTAGAGGTCAGTGGTCACTGAAAAGAATAATGCTATTCAACTGCTAGCGTTGAGGTTTCTCCAGAAATGCATTCAAATCATGATGACTCAGAACACGACCTAAGGATGCATTTAAATGAGGGAGATAAATACAATTATCTGAATTAAGAGGAAAAAGGGAAAAAAACTGCATCCTCGTAAAATATGGCATTGATTAAAAATGAGAATTTTAAATGAGTCTAAAAGCACTTTCTCCTCAGTAAGCACTAATTTGAGTGTCTTGATTAAAAAACATGAACAGTGCATGGACAGCATTCAAAAACCTGACATGAAAGATCATTTGGAGAGTAGCAACCGTTTAGATTGAGCCATATTCAGAAATCTACACGTTATGTCAACAGATTCACTTCTACAATGAAATGCATCTACGCTTAACAAACCAAATCAGAAGTGGGGCAAAAAGATGAAGTGGAGTGTCTGTTTACTTGTCCTGGCATAAGACTCGTGACAGGTGCGAGCGATCTCTGCTGCCTGCTCCATCTGGTGGCCCGTCTTGTCACCGGGCGCCCCATCAGCACCCAGAGCGATCATGCCGCCTGCAAAACAGGTCAGGTGACCCATCTTATGCTCCAGAAGCCCCCCCTTCCACTCCGCTATGTAGGTCAGCCCATTGGTGGACTTCCTCATCAGGTTGGTTTCTATTGCCTGAAAGAAACGCAGATTACAAACGTGTTAGCTTTGGTTAAAATATATGACTGTTGTCACACCTTAAAGATGAGGAAGAGAACATTAACAATCAACACAGATGTGCCTAAACTGCAGGATCACCTAAGACTCTAGAAAGTGACCATGGTAATATGCTTAAATAATATCATGGGTTGAATTTATTCATTATTAATGGCTTATTTGACTGACAGGTGGATGCCAGTGCGGCAAATCGGAGTCTGCTTTAATTTGAATCACTGAACAACAAAAATCCACTTTGAGCTTTTAGATCAGAGGTGGGCAATTAATTTTCCCAAGAGGCCACATGAGAAACTGGGACTGTTGTGGAGGCCCGCATAAATTAGCTAACTTCAGGTATGCCCAATAACTATCTGATTTCTTTATACCGATTTATCTCTATAGACCGATAAGCTTCTAAAGGGATAAAATTCACACAGAGCATAAGAGAGTTCATCTTATTTGTGTCGCCCTCAACAACAGTCCCAGTCTCTCACGTGGCCCCTTGGGAAAATCAATTGTATTAGACTGAAACTGTTATAACAAGGCTACAATCGATACCGCCAGAGATCTGGGATGACCCCTGAGCACATGAGAAAACATATGCTTGAAGCTGTGCACAAACATTTCTTTCTAGTCATAATATGTCATTATAATTTCCTCCTTATACTCAGTCTCAGCAGATATCTGCAGATAAGAAAACATGTCAATCCCATTGGGAAATATAGAAATGCTTATGGCTGTGATTTACCTTCATCACCAAAGACTAGATTGCTAGATATGATTGAAAAACTATAACTAAATCATCTTAAGAGTTACTGATTTGTGTTGGTTCCAGTTGTTATCTCTAATGGATAAGTAGTGCTCCAAAATGAAAAACCTTGTATTTTTCTATTTACAGACCCTTTAAGGAGCACAAATTGTACAAAAAGTAAAAGTTATTCCTTTTTCTGTTTTGTTGTGACTTTGATAGACCTCCTGCTGCTTCTCTCCTCCCGAGCCTCTCCTTGACAAATAAAACAAGAATGCCTATAATCCTCAAAGATCAAGAGGGATTATGGGTAAACTATCCCAGCGTGTTTAAGTCTGTATTTTAGTCGCTGTGTAATATATTCGATCCCAGTGTGCCAGAGAAAGACAGACGGACAATCAGCTTTCTCCAGCTGAGACCCGTCGCTTGTCACCTCAACTTAAGTTGACAATTTGTTCTAACAGAGAAAAGCTGTCTCCGTGTGTCTGTCTGTGCGTGTGTGCCATCCATCCTTTGGGTTTACGAGTGCTGTTGTTACTGTAGATGTGTCTTTTGTTATTCAGCAGTAGTCCTGTCAGCTGTGTCATCCTTCCATCTGCTCAAACTCTGTATCAAGCTCCTGAAGATTATATTACTTGAGATAAAAATCACAAAACTCTCCACTTTAGACTAAAATTAAATCTGTGAAATAGCATATTTTAGCATAAAACTACAGAGGCAACACCCAACACTTGCAAAGCTTCAAAGCTAGACAGAAATAAATACAACAAAAAGGCCACTTTTCAATATCAAAAGATGGCCTCATGCTTGTTTTCCGCTATTACCCAACAACCATTTATTATGACTCAGAGGGTGCACGGAGGATGCAAAACCCCAGAGTAAATCCACACAGTTCACCATCTGTAAACAGACCCTTATGCTGTCAGTTCAGCAAGAACAGCCTCAAATTAGAGGTCACTGGCTGTATATGTAATACACTCACAGCCTTCCAGAGGTTACCTCGGGATTCCCCATATATTAGCAATAAAATACAAAGCAGTTACACAATACTGTCTGCATTACTCTCTAAGTACTAACACATGATAAAGACTGGAAAATAGAATCACGACTAATACTTTCTAAAATTTATTTAGTACTACACAGACTTATTTATACTTTTGGACACTACTAGAGCAGCTTCACTATTCAAAATAATCCTTATTTACTTATACTGGGCCCTGGTGCAGGCCCTCAGTTCATTCCATGCTTTAAACAAGCAGTTTAGCTCCTCCCCCTTTAAGACAACTGTCTTCTGATTGGCTGCCCTCACAAACAGATGTTTGTAACTGAGCGTATTGAACAGCATTACCTGTATACACCAACCTCATTATCCTAAGCTTTTGTATGAACATGCACTATTGTAACACAAAATCTTACAATTGTATAGTTAATTGTAAAAAAAAATGTTCAAATATCTTCATCAGCAGTTAAAACCCCAAATATTCAGAAAAAGGCAGCAAATCCCACTAAGTTAAAGGATGAACCTGGACAGTATTTTTGACATTTTGCCTGAAAAATGATTGAGTGATTATCAAAATCACTCGGTCCGGAAACCCACAGGCTTGTTTGCTGACTTGGCCTCTGGCCGCAATGGCAGTTTTTTTCCACAAATAAGCGATATCTGGGCCAAACCTTCCTATTACATCTGCTGCTCATTCTTTACAAATACAGAAGGTTGACGATGTGTCCCAGTTTATGTGAGACTGCACCTCGTTTTCATCCCCTCGTACCACATAATGAGACAATGTTCCACATTTTGATTGGCTCGAGTTTACAAAAGTTACCAAAGCAGGACAGACACTTTTAGAGCAACAACTGAACAACAAGGACGAAACTTTGAAAGGTAATTCTCAGAGGTTTTATTTAGAGGTTACAGATATTTATTTTGCCTTTGTTACTATTATTATAATAAAGAGACAAAAACACAGTTGATTTAACAGGTAACTCTTTTAACAGTTATTTGGATAGAAAAAAAAGGAATATGATTGTAAGGAGACTTGGAAATTTAGTTGGATAAACTATTGTATATTTGTTATTTATGTGACAAATATATGTATTTAAAAAAAAAAGATCACCTCTCAGCATTAGTGGTGTTACACACACAAACACACAGTTTGTGTCACGTTTGGTTTGCTGCGATGTGGTCACCTAAATCGCAAATACACAAAAAACGCCAAACTAGAACGTTTCTGGTGCAAAAATAAAACGTTCCTGCAGATATCTGTTTATAAAGAGATCCACTATCACTTGACTGATAGCTCATTTTACTACCTGCTGCAGTTCCAGTGAAGTCTGTGATTGAAACTCTGAATACTTCTTTTTTTTTTTTCCCCCTCAATCACAAACAGTCAAAGTCGCCTCAGCTCATTTTGAAAAGTCATTGTGTGTCAAAGTGTCATTGTGTGTGTGTGAGTGTGTGCACCTGCAGGGCATCGTAGTACATCTTCTTGCCTTCCTCATCAGTCTTGTCAGACATCAGCCAGGCCTTGAGCAGGTACTCATAGAAACTGTCACCCAGGCCACCCACGGACACGTGATCTGCAACACACAGATAAAGAAAGGAGTGAAACTCACTTAGACACACAGAAACAAACAGGCCTCCCCATCTGTCTTCTGGGTTAGATCACACTGCCATCCAAAGATCATCCTCACATGACACAGTGTATGTGGCATACCGGTGATCCAAGATAAACAACAGCACTCTGAATGTGTGTGCGTGCTATTTTTTATTGGTGAGCCTTCACAGAGCTGAGCAAGCCGAGCAGCATTTTTGCATTCGTCCTGCCGATGGTCAGCAAAGCCTCATCCATATGCATGCATCATTAACAGAGTCTAAGGTTGTTTGTGGTGTGCAGAGATTAAATGTCAGCTGTGATAATGTTAAAGTGAGGCAAAAAGGAGGACGGAGCTGAACACAGTTTGTTTCTGAGCTGATAACGGTACCTGGCCTTCCTCAAGTTCAATAACAAAAACCAGGAACAGCAGCACCAGCCAATCAGGAGAGATGACACACGCTTCAAACAGACCATCAGCAGTCTGCCAAACGGCATTACAGCTGTGCAATTGAAATAAATTTGTGCAAACATTTTTTTAATATACTATAAACAGAGAGAGGATGGAAACTATGACTTAATCGTCACAAGTCACTGCCACAGCTGTTTGGATAAAATATAAACACTTCAAATCACAATATGTAAAAGAGAGAGCCTTTCTGGAGAGCTGCGGTGTGGAGATATTTTTTCAGACAGCGTTAAGCAGCAGAGATCCCCGAGTTATAATTTATTCAACAAATGCCTTCCCCATCACTGTTGCATAATTTCTGTCTAGATGAAAAAATCTAAGACGAGCATAAAAGCGACGATTTTCCTTCTTTTGTTTGAACTTCCAGTTTCTATTCTAATTGAGTATGTCATCATTTGCATAAAATACTTGGATAAAATCATAGTAGCTGGCTCTGGTTAAGAGTGTCAGCTAAATGCCAACCATTATAATCGTGGATGTGCTCTCAGTGGTTTTTCAGCCCATCACATAATAAAAGCAAGTAAACCACAGGTGCAGATTCAGATTTAGGATACTACAGATACTAACACCCCTTTAATAAAATAGTAGGTGGTAAAAAACAATACCAGACAGAACTCTAATAAAGGCTGAACGAATATCAGTGAAAAAAAGAAAGGAAAAAAAAAACAGTAATAAAAGTCGATTAAAGGATTTCTAATTTGTTTTGCTGTGGAAATCAAAAGACCTGTATCAGATTTTATGTGGAAAGGTGTTGCAAACATGGCACCATCATAATGTAAAATTGAATAATAGTTTATTTTAAATGTAAAATACTCACAAAGAATTAAAAGTGGAAAAAAGAAAAGCCAGTTTTTAAAGTAATTTCAGTCTTCTTTCCCTTCTCTGTGTGCGCCTGCTACCTATCAACTCACACTCCACAGTCTAACTGCAATAAATTACAAAGCGCATGATCCTTCTTGTATTGTGTATGCAAAACAATGTTTCAAGCAAAGTCACTTTCTAATCCTTTATTACGCTAATTTGCCTAATCTTTGCAGTTCTTGGCAGGCAGCTGAAATGAAAACGCAGCAGGCTAAAGGGCAATTTTGGTGCCGCTCCCGATGTTGTGTTTAACTCCTGGGGCTCCACAGTTGTGACTAAATTTGGTCAAAATGCAGCATGATGACTAAGAATTTTCTAGATATGCAACATATCAGGAGAAACTGTTTGGCAGTAACCTGACAATTTTTTTGATTTGTTTGAAGCCATAGATATTTAAGATAAATGCTCAAAAAAGGGCACCTGATCAAAACTTTTCTCCAGTCTCATACTGGTTTAATCTGTCTCTGCTGACTGTTTGAGCTGCTGTGACGAAGCATGTGTTTGCACACAGTCCAATACTACATGCAATCCAATTATCCCTTTTCTTTTGGCTAAACAAACCTGGTAAAAATAATCTGGAAGGTAGTACAGTAAATTCAACTGTTGCCTTAAGATGCTTTATGCTGTAAGGTTAAGATCCTGCAATATTAGCCAGACAGTCCCCTATGATCACAAAGGTGACGTTTGGAAAAGAAGACGTTTCAATAGGAAGAGACCTCCAGCAGAACCAGAGTCGTAGTGGCATGTAAACACATCGGGAGTGAAAAGGTTATTGAAGTGCATCATGGGAACCTCCCAGCAGTCTGAGCCTCTAGCACCATAACTAAAGGATTGTTCAGGCTTACCTAACCCAGCCCTAACTACAAACTTTATAAAAACAAGCAAAGTTTTAAGCCTAATCTTATAAAACCAGAAGGAATGTCTCCAGAAACTAAAGAAGGAGCTGGTTGCCTGAAAGCTGAAGGCTCCCATTCTACTTTTAGAAACTCTAGGAACAAGTCAGCCTGTAGCTTGACAGCAAAGTCCTCTGCTGGGATAACATGATGCTATGAGGTCTTTAAGGCATGATGGGGCCTGATGATTCATGCTGATACATGTGAGGACTTAACAAATTCAGGATTTAACAGAGAGCAAGTGAGAAGATTTGAATCTGGGAGAATAACAATCTCCCCTTGCAACTCCTGTTTGCCCTCCATGAGGTCATCTTTGTAATAAGGTGACTAAATGTTGTTTGGACATGTGTCTGTCTCTGTAGCTTCAAGAACCTGGCATCCACCTTCTCATTTAAATCGCTATAATACATTTATTAAGCCACTGGTTTCTGCTCTCTAGTGGTCAACCCCACTTAAACCAGCTTTAAGAACAGGCTGAAAAACTGATTTTGATATGCAGGCCCACTCTTTCCGCTTGTCAGTGTCACTTTAATTATATGTACCCAGCTGGCAGTTTCCTCCAACGTATGACAAGTGCTGTTAGAAAGGAGAGGCTTTTAGTGCTGGGTTCCTCTCCCAAACTATAAGTTACATCACCTCCACATTATACACCTTTCTTTATGTTCTTGTCCTTTCTCTTCTCTCTTTGTGATCAAGACTTCCATTATTTCCTCTTCCTCCAGCTCCACGTCTCTATCATTATTATCATTACCTGTTCAGTCGCACGGTGTGACGAGTCCGATAATGGCTTTAAAATTACACCCTGTTACCTGCGCCTTGTCAGAAGCACGAGCGTGCGGACCTGTGTGGCACCGGAGATGTTAAAGACGTGGCTTGGAGTGAGTATGAAAATACCTGACAGTGACACGGGTAAATAGTGGGTTTCAATGATTTAAAGAAAGTCAAGGTTCAAATGGAAAGTGTGATGACACAGTGAGGAGAAAGAAAGAGAACAGGAAGAGGATATTCCACTTTAGGCTCATCTGCAGAAACACTTCCTGTGCTGCTAGTGTAAAGGATTTTCTCTTTAGAGTGGGCCTCTCCATTTCGGCATGACCTTAGAAGTGTCCAAGTCATTCAAAGGCCTTGGAGATTAGTCTCTTAATCTGAGCCCCAACTGACATCTTTCCTATCTGGACTTAGGAAAATGTGTCATGGAGTGGTGTCAGGGTTATCTAATAGACTAAGGGAGAGGCATGGCAAATTAGTTTAAAGATACCCCGCTCTGGAACAAACTTCGGGACTGGGGGACAATGCGTCAACATGTATTAATCCTCTATATCAAGATTACTGCATAGGTAATTCTGCATGACTTATTCCATCTTCCTGAGTGTCCCTGGCCTAACAAAAGCTCCACAACAGCTACAAGCAGTACAACTTAACACATTTTTATTAAGCTAATTTAAACTAATATTGGATCATTCTGTCAGCCTGTTTAACTACTGAAACAGCATATATCAACTTTGTTTAACGGACAAATATTAGCACTCTTTATCTTCAGTCACTGTTAACAGAGCTCCATAATATTTATACAGAACTTTCATTCAGTAAACTTTAATTAAATCTCATTTGCATAGCGATCATTTAAGATAAACACAACTGGGTAAGACATAAGTAGACAGATAAAACAAAAAACAAAGAAAGTGAAATAATCTGAATGAAAGTTATGAAAGTGATAATCGTTAGTGCAGATCCTTAAGATAACAAAAAGCCCAAGTTTCTCAATACTCCGAAGTTTAAAATAGTTACAAAGTAAAAGCGCTACCAGCAGCAGTTATTTTCATCACTGTTTATCGTGATGCTTCTTTTCTCAGGGTTTGCTTTCGCTGCTTTCATGTGAATAATTCAAGCCAAACCTTCGTGTTTGTGACTTTGGCGTCAATGCACCGTAAAATCCACGTTGCTGATGAACTCAAGGTTTCAATTGTGAGTTTCAAGCCTCACTGAAACCAACACCATGTCCATTTAGTAAATTATGGTGCCCATTGGAACCAAAAATGACAATAAAGCAGAGCATGCTTCAAGTTAAGAGTCATATTAATAGTCTTCTGTATACCCAACCTAAGCACAAAACACTAATGAATGTAGTAATTAATAAGCAGATCTATAAGCCAACGTTTAAGAGGAAAGATTGTCAGTTCTGTCAAAAAGAGCCTCAATTAAACAGCAAAGTGCATGAAAGAAAGAGAGGGGGGCATGTTAAGTATACTCAGGCCCAGATCAGGAGGGGAGGGGACATTCGTGCTCTGGGACGGTTTAAAGAGAAGTTATCTAAAATTATGGTAAAGGTTCATTAATGCACAATAAATGGTGGTAAGTTCACAGAAAATTAGAAAAAATAATTGCCACCCTTTCAAAGTGTCAATCTGAGCTGAAGACAGAGTAAAGACTACAATAAGATGGTATCTCTTGGTTTTAGTCAGTCCAAATTGCAGGTGTAGATCTCTTTTCTTTAAAAGATCGACACAAAGTACACTGCAGTAATCTAGACGAGCTGTAATTTGCATGCATTAGTGTGTCATTGTCATCGTGGATAAAAACGATCTAACCTTGCTGACATTCTTCAAGTGATAAATGCAAATTTTATTAATATTTCTGATACCAGACTCAAAGTCTTGCTAATTATTAACCCAAAGATTTCAACCCACGATTTTCATTTTAATTACACACTGATCCATTTCACCTTTATTCTTTGGAGGAAGTTATGACTCAGTCTTGCATTTGTGCCCGAGATAAATCTTAAAATGTGCAAACACAACAGGAACGCTTGATTAGCGTACTTTAGTATTACGCATAAAAATTATTGTCCAAAGCAAAGGCATAAACTAGCAAGAAAACGACAAGTTCAAGGGTCGAGCATTACAGCACACAGAGGAGATGTTTACTTTCTCGTTAATCAGTGAACAAACCCGAGAAGATTAACACATTTTTTATCCGCCACATGTTAAGGATGGCCCAGAGTACTCAAAGCAGCCTTCTAAACACTCATATCTCAAATAAGCTTTAATGGAAGAACTGGGGGCAGCTAAATCCCCAAATGAGAAAGAAAGAAAGAGTTCAACATGTGAAGGGTGTTGGCTGTGATTGGTGATGCTTAGCCAGCGGAAACCTGGGACTGAAACGTTACTGCCTTTTTATTGTATCAAGACAAACAAACGCAAACAGTTCATGCGAGTGGTAACTTTGATTTGGATGCAGTTATGCCATCTGTGAAACATCTGGCACACTCTGAAATCAGCTTCAGCTTTCTGACTGTAGCATCTGGTGAGTAGGCAGGAACTTTAAAGTGGACATAAAACATTACATATATCGAGGATATTTGAAACCATGGATGCCTACTCTCAAAAACTCTCACAGATCTAACACTGTTTGTGAAACAGGGTTTAAGAAGCATCTAATATTCAAGTTTAGAGCATGTTTAGCATCATCTTGTGCCTATAAAGAACGTGACAGGACTGTGGTGCTGCTAATGGACCTACAATAGTGTATGTTAGCTAATTAGTGACCAATAAGTCTAAAATACACTAAACCTATAAATCAGTCTAAGGCAGTCACTTTTGTACTAGCCCTGGCTGCAGCAATGAATTCTACATAAAAAAACAAAGGATATGCTTGTGCACTTTCACTCTCTTAAGTAGGTACTTCAAACAAACAAAATAAAAAGATCTAACGACGGCCAAAAATATGGAGTAAGAATCCTGGATGTGCACAAAACAGCTTCTCAATGATTCAATCACAAACAACCTGGATTCCCAAAGTTTGTTATCTTATGTTGACTTTATATAAAGCTCTCTCATAACTATATCCAAAAAATGCAGTTTATTGCACAGCTTCTGATATGTAAACTGCAAATAAACAGTGCACCATTTTGCCTCAGATCCTCGTACAGCACACCTCTCGGCTCAGTGAACCACAAGTCAGCACTGCCAGTTTGGTCAGTCAAACTGGCAGTGTTGACTTTTCCATCTTTTTAACCTGTGGCAACAACGATGTGTGGACTGTAATCAGTCGATAGTTTTAGTATAAACTTGGTGGCGATTTAAATAGAAGTTAAATAATTTAGAAATGTGCTACATGTGAGTATTCATCTTTTTGCATTGCTAACAAACCACAATAATTCAACAAACCCACAGTTTAACAAGTTCAAAATTGATCGAAAATAATCATATCTATTTTTTGCAGGTAATCTATAAGTTCTCAAATTTTAGGAAAATGCATTTAAAATTTGCATCATTTGTTGCATGTAGTGTCACATATGTTTTTAAAAGTACCCAATGTAGATGTCTACCACATCATTTTTGAACTTTTACCTGATTTTAGCCAGTGCCATTTAGACATTCATTAGATATCCAACCTAGTGAGAGTATTCAGCGGTTAAAAGTTAATTGGTGAATAGCAGGAATTAGCTGGATTTGAAGCCTTTGTGAAAAGACAACTTTTCCCCTTTACTTTTCAAATATAGACGTTAAATAGTCCTCTGAATGGCTGACTGGATTTATCCCAGAAAATAACGTCCACAGAAGTTTAATAGGTGCTTGAGCCCCCCCCCCTCATAAATATTTATTATTTTTTCCCTGCTGTAAAACTATATTTTATTGTGTGGATTATTTATTTTTGTAAAGCATTTTGTAACACTGTTTTTGAAAAGTACTATACAAACGTTTAAAGCAGTATTAGGATACATGTAAGCAATACAAATAAAAAAGGGAAGAAAGAACAAAATACAGGTTGTGAAACTGGGAATCAGGACTTACGTTGGCCCCACTGTCCACTGTTGGGATTCAGGTAGTTGGGGTACAGTCCCTGAGGTTTTTCCAGGCGATTGAGTACTTTACGGATGTTCATTACCTAATATTAAAAGAAAGAAAAAAGAACATAAATATTTCTTAAAATTCTCAAAAGTTGCAAAATATGCACATTATATTTTATTATACAATTAGTCTGCTAGTTAGCAGACTAATTTTACTAAATATCTATACACAACAATACTAAGATGTAATTGATATAAATTAATGTGAACTGTTTATCTCCAGTTTAGGATTTTTGCTTTTTCTTTATGTAATAAAGAACTAATACTCTTACATACTCATCTTTATCTGGACTCTGGACTGGTATATTTCATTGCTTAGATATTTTTTTTATTACAAAAAACATCTTTTGAAAGTCTCTGTGTCTGTTACCTTCTGAGCAAACTCTGGATTTCCTGAGAGTCTGCTGAGGTGCATAAACTCCAGATGCAGGGTGCCATACTCTGCCAGGATGCTGCTACCACCCGATGCCCATGGCCAGTTCCTACCGATACCACTGCACAAACACAGAAGCAGAAGGAGACAGAAATGTATGTTAAACGCAAAAACAATAATAAGTGTGACATTTTTCCATTTTCACTGTATGGAATATTTTTTTTAGGACATGCCAGAAACACCTCACCTCAGAGGTGCCCTGGGAGGCTTCCTAGCCAGATGTCCAAACCACCTCAATTGGGTGTTTTTGATATGGAGGAGTAGCGCCTCTCCCAAATAACTAAGCTCCTCATACTCTAAGATAGAGCCCAGACACCCTACAGAAGAAGCTCATTTCCACCGCTTGCATTCATATCCACAGACTCATTCTTATGGTCACTGCCCAGAGCTCATGGCCATAGGTGAGCGTAAGAACATAGACTGACAGCTTAGTTTTCATGCTTGGTTCTGCTGCACCCCACCAGACAGGTATAGCGTGCAAATCACTGCTGATGCTGAACTAATCCATATGTCAATCTCCCGCTCCCTCACTCTTGAACAACTACAACGATTACATTTCCTGGCTGGCTTGGGAACGCCTTGGTATCCACTCCCAAAAGAGCTGGATGAGGTCACTAAGGAGTGGGAGGTATGGGCTTAGACTGCTGCCCCCGTGATCCGGACTCAGATAAGTGACAGAAAATGGATGGATGAATGACGAACAAATGCATGTCAAAAATAACGCAAATCAGAACAAATGAGTTACATAATAAAACTTTTAACTTGGGCACATACCCACAAACTTACAACACCCATTCCCATTACTAAACAAGCAGAAAGTCTTTAAAAAGCCATCTTAAAACTCTTACTTAGAAACCAAACGCCTTAAAAATCTGAAGACTGCTAAACAGTTCCTGAAAGTTTGATCTTATTTTTAAAAGTAATTACTATTCAACCGATTTTCCCTCTGAAGGCATTTACAAATAGATTCCTTAAATAGATAAAGAGCAGGGTATGTTAATGACACTAAAATTAAACCAAACTTTACACTCCGTTTGTTATATTTATGCACATGTCTGTTTTTCCCACAGTCTTCACCTGGCAGCACATCATTCTTTGAGTTTACCCGTCAGTCAAAAGGAAACTTGTTGGAGCCTGTTCTCTGCCAGGAAACAAAAAAAAAGGTGCGTCTGCTCTCGGGCCATATGTGAGAGTTACCAACCTTGGCGTGCTTGACAAGGACAGAAGACCTTGCAACTGGGAGTGTGTGCATGTAAGTGTGTGTGCTGGATCATTACAGCCACTGACAGATCACTTTCAGACCAAGGACTGATGACTCTGGTGGCGGTGCCTGAAGTAACTACTCATGAATACATATGAACTATTCACTACACTGTCAAGCACACACCGGGATGTCGGCCCTACAGCAACTACATATGGACACATGTACTACACAAAAACACTCACACACTGAAGCCGAGGAGACATCGCACAAATGAGAAGAAGGGGGAGGAGAAGGAGTGTGGATTGGGAGATGTGCTGCACAAACACACACACACACATAGAGACAAACCCACACATCTCTTTAAAGAGGTGGATGAACATACTAATTATGCCCCCCTTCTTCAACTCATCATGTTGCATAAGCCATAATTTGTTTCCCATTACACCACAGATTTAATCAAGTCAACCAAACACAGGGACGACCACTGCCGCATCAGGCAGCGAACACTGGCAAGTCTGGCAAGTGTCAGAAAGCAGGAATGGTGAGAAAGCATCCCATCACTGCACACCCTGATTAATTTGGGGGTCAGCTCCCAGCAAAAATTTAATTGGCACTGTCACACGGCTGAGATTGTGCATAAACACACACACATATATTTTGGACTAAGTTTTTAAGCTACATTTTAGTCAAACACTATTCCTTCGTCTCCGCCGCCTCTCATTCAACCGTAGTTTTGATCTGTCTATCCATATTTTTTAGTCCCTTTATAAACCCTGTGATGAACAGTAAATCCTTTCCCTTGTGTGGGTGAGATTGATAGACAACGCACACCTTTCCAGCTCGCCCCTGTCCACCTCAATCCCCCTAAAGCCCCGCTGCAAGAAGCACCAAATCCATGTTAGGGAGTCTAAAACAAAAGAGAGCCAGACAAAACCTAAAACCCCCAACAGTGCCTCTCAACTTTCTTTGTTAAGAAGGGCTGCTTCTGCTTCAGGCTCTGGGTGTGCCCACATAAAAAGGGGCATTTCAGAAAGATCCCTGTGAGCGCCACCGTTCCCAATCAAATAAGTTATCAATTTATGATGTAAAAATAACCTGGTGATTGAGTGCTCAGAGTGGTAAAACCAACATTTTTGTTAAAGTTAATTATTTTATCGCTGAACTCTGTGCAGCTGTTTAGTTCTAAGGTGACAGCTGGAGATTAAAGCTCTGAAACTTCAAACTGGAAATGTTGTTGTCCCCTAATATAAAGAAGACATGGAAATCACTTCAATTTGTTACAGATCAAAGTGAAATTAATCTGATTGCTGATTTGATTAATCACACATTTCAGTACTTACGGCCTTTTTTTGTGCAGTAAGGTTAACAAATGTCATGAATATAACACTATGCTTAAATTACTAAATCAGTTCTGTGCTTGGATGAATAATCTCACTTCTTTCATTCTTAGCAAAGCATGCGATGCATGTTAGAAACAAAGCTTCAGAGCTAAAAAATAAAGCTAACATGTGGTCACTTGACGTTGACTCCAAGAAATCCTCAGACTCTCGTGTTAAAATGTCCAACTTTAGAGCACTAAAAAGCGTTTTTACTGCCAGTTTCAAAGAAACAGTTTTAGACTCTGTGTTCAGTTTTAAAAACAGCTACTGAAACAAATTTGCACCGGGTGAAATGATGGTGAAAAATCTGCTTCGTAGACGTTCACAACGATTCTCGTGGGCACCCAGAGCAATGTGATTGCTCTGGGTGCTCTTGGCTTGAAGAAAAGACAATAAAACTGTAGGACTGTTTTGGTAAGTTCTACAAATCTGTTCCTGTTGGTTTTTGTGAGCAAATCTTCGTGGGTTTCCAAAAACAATCCAGAAACTGTATTTGTGTGATTAAACACTGTAAGAGATCAGGTAGTCTTTACCTGGGGAATTCAAATAATTTGTAATAACTGTGAAGGTAATCTGTGCCATAATTAAAAAATGATCATAATTCCACTGAAAATTACCCTCCACATTTAGCCAGATACTAATAGTCTGGTGCAAATTAACATGAGGCTGTTTTGGATGACCTTTTCCCTTTTGCAAACTTTCTTTTTAAATGTTTGTCTCCTGGCTTTTTCTTGCACAAAAGAGGCTGCTCTGGTAATTACAAAAGAAAGTTTGGACAGCATTTTGTGCTGTTGTAGCCAAACAACATGGAGACGTATCAACAGCGAGATCCAGGTCACATCCATTAGAAGAGTGAAATCTTGAAGGGTGGTGAGATAGATGAGATGCTTCACAGTCTATTAATATTAATGCTAGCTCTGTAGCTAGGGACCAAAGATGTTGCCGTCAAGTAAAACACAGAGCTGCTTGTCCTATGTGAGCATAAACATGTGATTTATTTCCTAAAGCACATGCGTTCTCCTGGTGAGACTAATTTTGTGTGAATGGGGCTAAAGGCTGACTCTTTGCTGTTGGCTGCTTGCAGAAACAGTTCAGTGTGAACAAATGCGTGGATGAAATTATGTATTAATGCTCATAAACTCAATAATTTGGGGTCAGAGATCTGGCTCTGCTCCATTTTGGACTAAATTAACCTGTGGAGGAACACTTTGTTATCGCTATTCTGATGGAAACCAGTCCCCTCCTGTACTGGGACTGGAAACTGGCCTCCATCCATCCATTGGCATACAGAACAATGCATCTGTCTTAGACTATTTGAGTCTACTGTTGTATTTGACTACTGATGCAAATGTCCTAGTGGGTCAGTTTCCAGGGCCCTGTTGACAACAGCGTGTTCTACATCCCATTTCTCACATGGCATGTAATAGGACTTATTAGCTCTAATCTTTGAAACACATTATTTAGTTTATGCAGTCTTTGCACTACAGAATACATAAAGTGCAATATTATAAAAACATTGTACAACTGGTCAAAGTTTTGCCTCAGCTGGCTTTCGTCCTAATTTGCAGAAAATTTTCACCCATGATGTCTAATCCAAAATTAATAACCGAGTTCTCCCTGTTGCCTGTTTTTCATTTTTTTGTGCTCTCAGTGGGCTTCATTTCCACAACAGCGAGGGGTACGAAGGTTCATATTAAACTCTGGATGAATATAAAGTCTCGGTTTATTGAATTCAGTTCTCGAACAGTCACAGCGGTGCTTCTCACTTCTCATCGACATGCTGGCTTTTGATAAAATGTTGTGCCGATGAGCCACGCTTTATACCAAACAGTAATATTAGAGTGCAGCACACTGCAAAAACGTTTGGTTATTCTCTTTAAAAACCAAGCTGTAAATGTTAATCAATTTGCTACTGTGACCTAGAACTAGAGGACTTTCAGAGATTATATGAGGCTTACATCAGCGTATTAAAGCCGATATTGAACTTTCATTATAAGTTAAGAAGATGAGCCAACATGATCCACCTCTGATAGGAGTGATAGGATGCAGTTTGTTTGTTTAACAGGAACTCTTTTTTAAATTAATTTCCTTGCCTCACATTTCCCCTTTTATATTCATTAAGGGGCAGATATTATGCCATGCAGAATTTAATCCCGGTAATATCTCTCTGTTAAACAGAACAGATTATATCACACTACTTACATTTGACTATTAATCATTCAGTCCAAACGGTAACTTATCACTGTTTCACTTTTGACTTAAGTTTCAAAAACCTATGATTCCAGGTCACTTGGGTAAAGTTTGACAAGGTCCTGCTTATTAAAACACTATGGATACATTTGAAAGCCTTCTTAGAAACAAAGTAATGCCATTCTTCCTAATTTTTGTACTCCTATGAAAAATTATGTACACTCCTACTGCTTCCATAGCAATTAAAAGGGTAAAAAGCAGTCAGGGGCTACTAATCAGACATACAGT